GGATAAAGTTTGTGATCATTATCTTTTCTGGATGTTAGGCATCCTTCTGTTGGCATACAAATTTCAGAAGCTTATGTTCACGATCTGCACAACATCCTGACTATTAAAATGTCGATCCTGGCAGATGTTTTATTCATTCTAGATAATAGGGATGGCAATAGGACGGGTTCAGGACGGGTACCCCTGCCCTGCCTCGCACAAATCGTACCCCGCCCTTCTTGCCTCTTTTTATTCTTTCCTTCAAAATTTCGAGTTCAATAAAATACAAATAATACTCAAAATAACAAAGTTAATATCCAAAATAAACACTTGAAAGTCGAAACAAACACTGTCCAAAAAGAAACAATTGCAATTAAAATTACATTGTCATTGTGACATTGTAACTAAATTTCATTTCTTGATCCAAAATTTGTCATTTTTCAATCTTCATAAGTTCATTCATCAACAAAGGTAGAGATTACACAAAATGAATCCTGAAAAATGAAAGAAATATTATACTTAATATCATCATAATAACTATGATTAACATTTACATTATCTAATAAATAAAATTACCTCCTCATCAACATCCTCATCATTCATCTTAGAGCAACATCCAAATTATGCAGACGGCGTAGAATTCAGAATTCGCTATTAATAAAGTAAAATAATTAGTAATAAGAAAACTAATAAAAGGAACCATATGAAAAGCAAATGTTTATATACATCTTACCATGAATATTGGCTCATAACCAATCTTAAGCACACATTAAAGCTTCCAAAGTTTTGGGATTAAGCCTATTTCTGTGTGGATTAACAAATCTACCACTAGTACTGAAGGCAAACTCAGACACCACTGTAGATACAGGAATGGCCAAAATATCTTTTGCCATTTGATATAAAGTCGGATATTTGATTGCATTTACTTTCCACCATGTCAATATATCGAAATCATCAGACCGAGGCAATATAGGCTCATCCAAGAAAGTATCAAGTTCAATTTTCACATTACTAGGAGCTCCACCATTGGAAACAAATCTATAAAAACCCACCATTCGATCTAATTTATTATTAGAACTTCACGTCTCGATTTGACAAGAAGAAGTAAAAGACTGAGCTACAGACCCACTTGAATAATTCTTTTTCTGATAATCATGCACCAACTTGTCACAAACTTGATAAATTTTTTCAATCTCACTTGCAGCGTTGTGATTAAAAATACGAAGATAATAATTCTTAACTAACATCATCTTATACTTTGAATCCAACACTGCTGCTAAAGCCATCCATGAATATCACTCCAACACTTGTTAAACTTTTTCATCATATTGTTCGCCATCATTTGAACTTCCACATAAAGAGATTCAAGCTACTCATACAAAGGCAGTTTGATATCACAAAGTCACTCATACAAAGGCAATTTTATATCACAAACATTTGCAACAAAGAGATTAACAGTTGGATAAATTGTCCTTGAAAACAATTTAGTAACCTCAAAAAAACTTTCAACTTCTTACATATTTCTTTTGCCAAATCTCAATCACCATCACTAGGCAAACATTCATATTGTGACTCCCTCCGTTTCAAAAGAGGAAAAACATCCTTATAACTCAAAGCCGTACGAAGTATCAGGTATGTAGAATTCCACATTGTTTTACAATCAAGAACCAATTTTTTCTCACAATCAATTTTCAATTGACATGCAAAAAGTTCAAATTTTTCATCTCTTTGGCGTGGCTGTCCAATAAGCAACACTATCACAAGTTTTCTCAACACTACCACCAATAATCTCAACCCATCCTTGACAATAAGATTTAATATATGTGCATGATGCCTCATATGGAAAAAATTCACCATTTAACACAAGAAAACAAGAACAGAGCTGACTTAACACAATATTGATCATAGCATCATTTGTAGTGCAATTATCTACTGTCAAAGTTAGTAATTTACGATCAATATCCCAATCTAGTAAGATGCACAATAGAGTTTCTAAAAACACATCAGCAGTATGTGGGCATGGCACATATATAAACCTGAGTTCATTCGGGAACAAATTAAATCAACTAAAAGAATATAATTTTGGTAAATTTTGAAAATAAGTGAGTGTAATTTTTTACTGTACTTCATGATTCGACTTTGTAGTTTCCAAACATCATCTATGAAATAAGCAATGATAACCATAAATCATTTCTTTTCATTAGAAGAGGTTCACATGTCGGTATTTATTGAAATTCAACTCTCAATCTTCTCAAGTGCAATCATATTTTTTGCTTTCTTATATTCATAGATTTTCAAAATTTCACTCTTCTAAGTGTTACGAGAAGGAACCTTAAACAATGGTTGCAGGTCATGCAAGAACTCTCAAAATCCAATGTGATCGACTATAGACAAGGAATATTCATGCAAAATACCATTTTTGTGAGACTATACCTACGCTTATCTGGATCGAAAGAGTATATACTCATTGTGACCTTGTCACTCGTGGCATCCTTTTTGAAATTTAATGTTGTTTGGAGAGTGTTATCTTGATGACAGAATACACATCTCTTCAAATGATCATGCAAATGTTTTGTACTATTTTTTGTGTCATCCCTTAACTGTTTCTTGCAATGATTGCATATAACCTTAAATTTCTCACTAATTTTTTTGTCTTTTGTAGTGCTCCCAAACAGATGAAGTCAATTTCGTTTTTCGAAAGATTGTTTTCTAATATCATGCTCCTCGTTACTTAGGTTTATTGGCCTTTCATCTGTATTTGGTAACGATTCAGTTGGATCTTCTTGCGAGATATTGCTCGCAGGTATATTGGTCGTGCTATTGTCCTCGCATATTGGTCCCTATCTAATAATTCCAACACTACTAGGCAGACATAACTTGAATGACATGTTCTTATAGAGCATGTTCTATCTTCCTCGCAAGCTTTTGCACTATAGAAGACAAGAAACAAATAAACAATCACATAATACATTTTCTTCTCGATTTACCTCATGGTCTAACCTTAGGAAATTGTTATCTAAATGACACAATAACATTTTTTATTCAAAAAATGATATAAAATCTTAATTATACGAAACATCTGAAAAAAGAATATACAAATATTATAAGAAAAATGTATTAAAGGATTTAGGTAAGTTTGAAATCAAATGATACTCCCTATAAACTATTTTCAATCAAATAGAAACTGAGTAAAATCTTAACTACATTGACCCATAGTGGCACCTAATTCGATGTTTTCAATTTGGTATTTTCTTGGATGAATTACATATTTCACACCTAAACCTACAACTTCTCTCAAAATTTACACTACCAATAACAGCTAAACAAACATGTCAATCAACAAAAATGAACAGACTGGACCCAATGTTCACTTTCCATGATGCACAAATGAACATAATGCAAATGCTGGCCATATCATCAAGGAAACTTAAAATTTTAAACTCCAAAATTTTGAACTCCATTTCAAGTTTTTAAGAGAAAAAATATATATTAAAAATTGGTGGCAATAGAATAAATTAAAATATTAACACAAGATATTTCAGCCATAAAACGAAACTAAACAACTGAAAATAACTATTTTTTTAAAGAATCTCTCTTTACAAGCAACAGAATCACGCAATAAGAATTTATATAAAAAAATTTTATGCATAAACACATAAGGAAAAAATATATATATGTTAATCTTTATGGTTCTTGATATACACAAGGAAAAAGAAAAAACACAGATAAACATACAGAGAAAATACTAGTGAGAGAGAGAAACAAGCTGCTCCCAACAGAAAAACCTCCAGAATTTGGTTTGAGAGCAAGGTTGCTGGCTGATGGTTGCGTGAAGTGACTCGCTGCTAGAGTTGGGATATAGATGGAAATGGAATGAAGATGGATTTTTAGGGTTGTGTGTGTTTGTGACTTGTGTGTAGTGTATTTTGGATTTGGGGACTTGTGCTTTGGTCATTACGCCCAAGCAATACACATGGCAAAAAAGCCCTGTCCAACCTGTGGTGGTTAGAAAAAGGTTTTTATAAATTAACCTTATTAAAGGTCATAGTCAAACTGTTTAAAATTGAAACAATGTTGGGATATATTGTATGCTCAAGTTCAAGGACCTAAATTGCTACGCCCTTTATTAGCAAGTATAAATATGAGCACCCCTATATACCACATGACTACATCAAAATATGTCCACTGAATGGCACTAGCGTATGTTTTAGTAGATTTATCAAATCATTTCTAGTCTGTTTCCATCCAATATATTATACCGAAAATGGATGACTTCTCAAGGAATGTCTTCCCCAAGTATGTAATATGTGTGAGGAATAAACATAATATTCGTATTATAATAGAGAAGCAATGTCATCAACAAAATAGAAATTAATTTTTTATTGCGATTTAACAAATTCTTACAACTGGTCGTGTTCTCACTTCTTCTTAAGAAAGTATTGGTACAGGAACAAAATTTATAAAATTCCCACCTAAATTTCAAAAAGTGGTGGCAATTATAACTCTCTATATTCTGTTTTTACACCACGTAACCATCTCATTATTTCATATTTGCAGCACAAGAAACGATTGAAAAAAAGTATTAATTCATCATAGGCATCCCATCAAAGTAAGCAACCAAATCCTACCATAAGATATTTTTTATTCAACATTTGCAAATATACTAAATCTTATTCTCATTCTTCAACTAGACACCCACAATCTCAGTCTAGAGCAGCAGGAATGCGATTAATGTACCTAAAGAAGAAGAAGAGAAAGCCCAATTTCTGATATGGGTCCCTTGAAGAAAATTGTGAAAGTGAAGAAATGAAGCTCCTTCCTGCCTCTATTATACAGAAATAAATATATTGGGAAAGCTCTTCTATTGGAAAAAGGGACATACAATACCAAAAACAGTCGTTTCATTATTCTATAGCATGATAATTTGTGTGCGTGTCTTCAAGTTCTTTATATATTTAAAATGAGAATGAAAATTATTACACAATATAATCTACGAGTGTGACAAAAAATGAAAAAAGATATGAACTAACGTATGCACGATTCACGTAATAGAATAAATTGATAACTTATGTAGTTTGTAATACTAAAACATTGTCAGCAAAAGTAAACAGTTACACAGCATTTACCACAGATAATGCAAAATGTGAGGAATGCGTCAAAGTGTCACCATGCTACCCAAGAGCAATTCAAATGTAATTTCAAGCAAAAAGGTAAAAACTTTATAATCCAAGAAATTAATATCCTTCACCACCTAAACCAATTCAAAATAATGCAAAACCAAGTTTAACACCATCGTCATGCTATCCCGGTAATTCATTAACACTTAATTCTTTGTTTTTTTCGTCCTCCCCCTTGTGTACGTAGTCCTGGTAGTAGGTGCCAGACGTCGTAGTAGTGCCGATCGCCGTCTCTTTGTAATAATTTCGCCTCCTACTTCGGCTACAGTGGAGGGAACTAGGATTTCAATCCCACCGCCTACACAAAATCCAAATGGGCCAAGTTACTTACCTGAAATGCCCTCCACTTACCATACGTAACATAACCACTAGTAACATAGACAATTTACTTACATTTGACATCCGTCACGTTGCAAGTCAACAACTCTTTATCATTGACCAAGGCCATATGTTTGGGCTTCATGCCTTCTCCATCTAATGAAAACATGCCAAATATAAATGCAGAGCGTTCATCATTCCCAGTTTGCAAATATTACAGCGCAGATCAAAGAATAGTACGAAAGTTAAAATTTTCACTCGGCTAATGCACATACCGTTTACATCCTGCTCATCCAAATGTGGGTCAATTTGTCCTCCTTCTAATTCAAAATGACAATCAGTTGATGTAAATTAGTTGTCGTATTTTCAGAAACTTGCAAAGTAAGTAGATGCCATGAAATAAAAAATTTTGAATTCCTCATAAACGACCCAATACCTTGCACTTTTTTGGTTCCAGTGGGCATTGGCACGGGGTCATTGCCCAGGCATGGCTCAATGTGTGCTCGGTCTGTTGAAAACAACAATAAAACGGTGTGAGTAAAGTAGTTTTGGCAATTTTCAAAACATGCAAAGTACATGAAATAACAATTCACCAATTTGCTCATAAATAACCCACATACCTTGCAGATATTCGATTTCAGTGGGCACTGGCATATCCTGCTCATCCAGACATAGTTCAATGTGTCCTCCATATACGTCTACATCACAATTGTGACACGAACAAAAATGTGAGTGACAGGTATAATGAATACTACTCAACATAGGTAACATTTAATAAGTAGAAGATTTACACACATAATACACACACCTTTTGGTAAACTACCTGAAACTCAGACCTCAGTCGCGGCATCTGTGGCAGCTGCAGTGGCGGTCGGACCAGATGGGGGCACGAGGGTAACTATGAACTCTCAGAGTGTTGTAAATTCAGAGGTCACGTGCTGGACAATTTCAAGCTTCACAATCCGGTGTCGCATTTCAATGAAGATTCTTTAGTCCAATAGCAACTCATCAACTTTCCCTCTTGTCAGGCTTGCTCCAGATGTTCCAACTGGTCATGTATGTATCGACGGCCCACGCACTGAAGAAGAAACTCGTGGCCCCGTGAGGCGTGGAAAACACACTCGTCTACCCTCCGCAGGTGTCATCACTGTCGAAAGATCGAGCACCGTGGCCGTCGCCACTATCTTCAGTATCCTTATCATTGTGATCATTGTTCAACCACCCTTCTCCGTCATCACGTCCAGACATCTAGTCCTCACCGCTTCCTCCACTAGACTCTCCGTCATCAAGATCCTACGTAGACGGCTGTCCACCACCTCTACTACCGGTATGCGATGCATTAAACTGTGCTGCGACAACAGTCCTAGCAATGTCATCCAGCACAGGCATGGATAATCATTGTATGGCACGAGAGTGGACACATAGGCTTGCTCACACTCAGCGACGGTGGGACGCAGTGTTGTGTACACATGCAACTTTAAAATAAGGTTACAAGAGTCAGATAAGAAGGTATGCAGAAAACAAAACGTTCATTATGAAAGAACAACCTTATAGATCATACCTGTACATTCCTGAAAATGTCTCGTACGTACGATGCTGTGTCTGTTTTCTTGCTGACCAGCTAAAAAGTCGTGGCATTCATTCATCGAGTCGCTCAACAAACCGTTCTCCAATCTTCGGAAGCGCATCATACGCCCATACCTGTTGCAGGAAGAAAACTTTATGCAGAATTGGCAAAATTGGAAACACAAAAATGTAGTTGTGAATAGAGATGGTAAAAAATCCGTCTCACCTCGACGGGCCCCACCCCGAATAGGACAAAAAAATCCACCCTATATAGGTTGGCAAGACGAGGCATCCCCATCCTGAACTTGCTCCATGAAGAAAAAAATAAAAAAAGATTAACAATAATTTTGTTTCTAGATAATTCACCCGTTAAAAATTCATTTTGAATTTATATTTTATTTTCTAATAATAACATAACTCGAAACTTTGAAAATGTAAAAATAAAAAAATAAAAAAATTTTAAAAAAAGGACAACAAATGGGGCAAAAAGTTACCCCGTCCTGAACCCACCTAAGGCAGGGAGGGCAGGATTTGGGAAAAACAGGGCGGGGTGGGGCGCCCTACCCCGAGCCCACCCCGTTTCCATCACTAGTTATGAAAAATCATGCATGCTAGAATAAAATCAAATATTCATACCTGCACGACAAAGGGAAAGTCGTAAACCGTGTAAGTGATCTCCTTGTCATTCTTCCTCTTGGTCTCGCAGAATTTTCTTGCCCAACCACCCCACAATCCCTTCAAAATACGTCTGTAACCGACTTTACCCCAAGGATAGGCAAAAAATAAGTCAAGGTCGTCAAAAATTGATAGTGTGTCCAAATCGATACCGAAATTATTATCCAGAGAACTAAAAACTCTTTTGACAAATAGATCCTACCCGAGCTTGTAGCTATCAGCTCGGGTCGTCGGAGGCCGAACAAAAGTAGTCCGAAGTTGTGCACAATGAAATCTTATCAATGGATTTGAAGTACCTCTCTTTCACCTCTCTAGCACTCGAGCGAATTGATCGCCCTCCGGGAAGACACCACATATTAACCCCGTCAAAACAACATACTCCTACAGACTGGACCTCATCATGTGGCCTTGCACGTTAAACCACGGCTCGTTCATCTTATCAGTACGAATGGTTCTAAACACCAGCTGTTGAATTAGTTAGGTGGAGAATTGTATGTTTGGAACCTCGGCCAAAAACCTCAGGCAGGAGTTGCGGAAGTCCTCACGTTGGTGCTCGTCAAAACGCTCCATCACAATCTTGACATAGTTGAGGTTGCTTCGTTGGGGAATGTGGGTCTGCAACCGTGCATCTTCCGGAATGAGAAATTCAAATTCCATCTGTTCTGCAAGGTGCGGCGAGAAAAAGTCAGGGGTTACATGATAATGTTAAACATAATATACCGTAAATAGTAGTTTAATGAATCGAATTCATGCATGGATTAAGTGAACTGTTGAGAAAAACTGGTAGCAACTGACGGTTGATATCTTAACAGGGCTGAAGTAAGGTCAACTTTCGAGAATAACTGAGGCGAAATGTCAAGAACGAAAGTTCATTGGGAATTGAGCTGTCTACTAAAGTGAGATGTGCAACATAAGTGAACATAGGAGACAGGCAAGGATGACGTCTAAACCACCATCACTTCAAGACGAATGCAAAGTAAGAGCATGTAATACATGTTTGAAGCCAATTGTAACAACAAAAATGTGAATGATCCACTCAAATAGTATGCCATGCACAGTCATGATTTTCTAAGCATGAAGGGTCGGGTTATATGACGAACACATGTGACTGTATACATAAATGACTTCAAACATGACCCTATTACATGAATGACTCGGCGATAAGTGTACATGCAAATGCAAATGCAAAGACGGTTCATATTTTAGGAAAATGGAAGTACCCACACTTCAAGACTTTTGTGCATTCGAAATTTTAGGGACACGTATGTAAATTCCCTCTAAATAATTTTCATTAACTAATTGTGTGCACCATATACCGACATTTTTGTAACTAGTGAACGTGTTAACCCTATACAAAATTAAATAATAATAATGCCACATACACAACTACATTTTCCCAATCTCCAACTCCCACTAACCGCTAATGTATGCCATAAACACAAAGAGGTAGAACTCATACTTTTCCTATCTCGAAAGCAAACTTCATAGTTGAAAAGAGTTCCCAGACGACAAGAGAGAGGGCATACTAGCATAAACACGTAAAGCATAGATATACTTTTTCGAAGTGTTAAATAAATCATTAAAACAATTACATGATTATATAAACATGTCTCACGTATATACCACAAATCTCAAATGATTAACATTATCCATACATAACATCAAGAACTTAAGTTGTAAGATCGCTCAATAAAGTCGATAGAAGTAGATGGATTTAATTCGATCGGGATCCAAAGAGAATCATAAAAAATTGGGTACTAATAGTCATTTTGAACCATAGGTTTTATATCTAAGTCTAGAACCAAACCAAAAACGACACGTTCGATTCAATTAAGTTCCTTGAACAAGTTAAATTTACTAATCTATATGTAAATAAAATGTCTGAATATACAAGTTCTTAAACTACAATTGTTTAACATATAATTTCTCCATAATCTTTTGTTAAAATGATTTATGTTGACACTAATGATTTGTATTTTTTTAAAATTAAATGCGATAGTTTACATTTAATATTTAACTATTGACTTGAATGGGTTCTTTAAAAACATGTACTAATATCACTTATTTTTTTATACTTCGAGTTCGAAAATGCTAACTTGAAAAGGATGAAAGAAACCAAGCCTCTTATTAAGCTAAATTACATTTATGAAACTCAATAGATCATTTTTTTAGAGTTTAAAAATAACAATATTATTCAATATGAATTTGATATAATATAGTAAAATTCGTAAGAAAGAGTAAAATGCACTAACCATATTTAAAAATATAGATTAAATTTTTTTGGTTTAAATCAAATTTTTCGTTCTTGGTATTACAACCGAGAAACGGACTAGAACTAGCCGATTCTCGATTATAATCCCACAACCAATTAGAACTAGAGTAGAATTGCACTGAACTGATCGATTCTATAGTTTGGTCCAATGATTTTGATAACTTTTATCCACTCCTAAAGCCTATCAATAACATGATGTCAAATCTCATTTGGAAATTAATAATGCTTTCACGACTGATACCAAAATGTCATCATATGTCACATGTATTTGGTATTAATATAAGTTAAATTAAATGACGTGCTATGAGACCTATTTATTGGACATATCATGTACTGCCACATAGAATTATGTTTTAGGAGCTACGATATTATCTAGCATTAATGTTTGAAGATGGATGAAACTACAAACAAAAATAAAATGAAATTGTCTATATACTATATAGTAAACATAAAAAGAACATAGATCTAGTGCCAAATTGCTTCTAAAACTTATTACAAGAAAAACATGAAAAATACATCACTATGTTACATGAACAAAACACAGAAAAACACTAGATGTTATATACTATAATTATTTTACTATTTTTCTTTACAAATCTCAATCATATTCATGAAATCTCCATTGTTGGAAATCGTGATTAAGCTCAAGTTCTAGTATTCTAGTTGAGGTTTTTGCTTTTCTAACACCAGTCATGTAACTAGTTATGTGCACACATATTTTCATTGCACTTAAGTCTATGTTGATCTCATTGTGTCGGGATTTGCACTTAAATGACATCTATGTCTAAGACCAAGCAAAGACCTTTAATGCCATTATTTGGCCAATGCTCCAATTATCAATTAGCCAAGTGATTGAGGGTGACATTCCTTTGATAAGGAGGTCCCTATGGTCGAGGTGCTTTTTTTGTTTGATGCGCTTTGAAGATCGAGGTATCAATTTTAATTTTGTGGCAATTGGGCATGCAATGGGATCCTTTTGTGGCAACATAAAGTCCAAATGGACAATAATTATTCCAGCATATAAAATTAGTCCCCAAGTTCGAGTTCCTCATCATCTCGAACACTATGGTGTCCACAACACCTATTGGTAAAGCAAGTATTATAAATTCGACATTTTTGGACACCAGAAGCTTTGTCAAAACCCAATTTATTAAGATCAAGATCACGCTGAAAAACAGAAAAATACCCAAATCCCATACATGGTAAGGTTCTGAGTTGTGGTAAAGTTCTTCTTCTCTCATTAAACAAAAGCCCTCATTTAAGCACAGACCACAAATCAATAATCAGAGCAATCAAACCCAAACAAAATGCCACATCGTCATCTATCCAGAGAAACAAATACATGAAAACAGTGAGCATACTTGAATTGGATACTCTAAGTTGGTTCACGGAAAATATCTAGCAAAGTGAGTTTTCAAGAGTAAAAGTTGGGTCTTCACAGAACATACACTTTGACCGCACTTGATTTTCACTACCTGAAGATATTACTGACGGTCTTCATCAATGAGGGGGTCATTGACGGCGATCGTCGAGCGCTCTACGTTGGAGGATTCAAATGACAGAGGGCTGTTGTGATTCGCCGATTCAAATGACAAACGGGAGTCGGTTCACCAAATGCTTTCGATCTTCGTCATCGACGAGCTTCGTCATGGTGGTCGTAGATTGGGTAAGCTCTGAACCATTCAATGAGTGAGAAAGGGAAGAGGGTTTCAGACTGTTTGGGCAGGAGAGAAATGTGAATTTCAAATTGTCTAGTTTTTTTTTTTTTTTTTTTTTTTTTTTTTTTTTTTTTTTTTCCCTTTTCCTTAAAA